TTTTCCCTTCATAAATATCCACTGATAACAGATTAATCTCTTAGAGTAATAATTTCCATAAATTGTTTCTTTAATTGATTATCAGTTTTGAGAGGAGAATTCAGAGAGAGAGAACACAACAGGATGCTAAGACAACAGAGACTCCCACTCTTTTCAGTATCTCCACTGTTTCGATTTCAGCCCAGCTTGACTGATCCCCAAATCCTTGACCTTAAGCCCTTTGATGATTCATCATTGGAGCAGAGAAGAGAAATTTCTGCAGATTGCTTGGAAAAACAGCTGTCTTCCTAGTTTGCAGAACTCGCCTAGACTTGTCACTCAAGAGTCAAACACAACTGGAGAATAATAGTAACTATCTAGACTCTAATTTGAACTAGAATTGAGCTTTCATGTTTCTACACAACCTCCCTTCGCACCCTCTTCTACCTAAAATGGCATGGCCACTTAGGTAAACATGTCTATCTTAAGTTACTGATACTGTCACGGACAGCTTTTAGTTTGATCGTGTGGTTGGAAAATTTACAGTATAAGCTGAGGAAAGGGTCCCAGACTCTAGCTTTAAAATATTCTTTCATCTTTTGATATGATGCCTGGCTTGAAAGCTGAATGACTAGAGGGCAAGAGGATTCACTTTGTGGCTTCAGAACATTGGGTTTCCTGGACAACCAGGCCGCTTGGGAATTGGTGTTAGTGGTGCTCTTACGAGGGAGCAGGAATTGTGTCTACGCAAGGAGGCAAACTTGGAGGGGAAATCTTAGGTTATGCTCAAACTCCAAAGCAGGCAGATTTAGTCTACATCCTTTAAATGTTCTCTATCTGAGATAATGGGTAGAATGGTTGAAATATATAAAAAATTACACACAAAATATCTATTTGTTAAAATATGGCTTCATAAGGTTAATCTTAATAAAAAAAGCACTATATCCATTCTATGATGAGTCCTAGAATGTGAGGAATATTTCGTGCATAGGCCCCTCCCTGAGCAGCACTTTGGGCATCAGTTTGTTTTATTGATAGAACGAGGAGAGTAAAGTCATTGCTCCTTAGCCTTCTTATAAAATGATGCACACAATGGGAAGTAAATTTAAAGACATTATAGGGAAGATTAGCATAGATGTTTTTGAGGCTCCTATGACCATTGAACCATCGAATTTTGATTGGTTTGTTTTTTCTTATGTTTGCATAGGATTGTCACATAAGTCATTGCTGTTAATGAGAATAAGTTTCTTGACGTCACTGCAGAGCATATCGACAAGCAGGATCCAGAAAGTTATGCAATGTTTCCCTCTGATGTCTTTGTGAATGGAGGTTTGGTGGCTATGGAATGGAGCATCCTATTGCTTGACTATGTGTCTCCTACAGCAAGGAATGAAGTGTGAGACAGAGTCGGGAGGGTGGAGGCTCAAGGACAGGCAATGCAGCAAAATCAACAGAGACAGGATGATCGTTGGGTCCACGAAGCACAGCCCTAGATAGCGCAGCTGTCATGGCTAGATGCTAAGTCTGCTCTAACAGACTGCAATGTTCGTCTGCTGAGCAACATGCTCATGTCTCCATAGAGTAGCATTTTTTATTGCAGTATGACTTTCTTGGGAAATGAAAAAAACTTTAAATAAATCACAATTACTTATTGCTTAGTATTTGAGATAATAAATTCTTTAGTTTGTCAGTACCTCATGGCCTTCAAATGTGCGTTCTTCAAATAGTTTCAATTACATATATATTCTTTCTTCTGAACAATAAATTATTCTTTAAAAATGAAAAAGAAAAGGTACATAATTTTTAAAGCAAAGAAAAAAACATATATTTTAAACATTTATCTTAAACTTATATGAAAACAATTCTCTATGTTAGATGCTTAAATATAAATAATAAAGGACATTATGTTATTTACAATGTTATACAATATGAGAGTAAAACCTAACATTAACTCATAGAGACAGTAAATGACTTAAGAAAACATCCAAGTACTATACAATAGGTATTTACAAAAGAATATATAATAGAAATTTTGATTTGTGGCCATTTTATTTTGCTTGCATTTCTCCATAGTGTGTCATGGATCTTAGTGGACAGAAATTTCTGTAGCTGCTGGAAGGCAGCCAGGACTGAAAGGGAAGGTCAGATCTTCCTTATTCACTGATCGGAGCCATCTACTTTCAATATCCGGCCAGAAGAGGAATAGATACAGAGGAAGTTACCCTGGATAGACTCCATCTATATGAACAGTCACACAGAAACAAGAAAGAGATGGCATATTGCTGCTCGGGATACATTCTCTCTTAAACAGAGGCCCACTTTGTAGAACGCTGCAGAAGGCTGTCCACTAGGCACTCTTCAGGGCAGGGGGAGAAACGGAGCAAAAAGCAGGACAGAAAACAAATCTTGAGTAAGTACAAAAGGAATTTGGTGTCTACTATACCCCGCTATATAGCTCTCAGTGGTTTTGAGTTCAGGCCCAAGAAATAAACTTTCTGTTAAGTTCTGAGTAGTTTGTACTCCCTTAAAATGCGAGGCATCTTCACGCATACTAGGAACACAGGTGTGCATTCCTTTGCATTGCTACAGCTCTGCCTGGGTTCATAAACAGGGTGGTTGAGAGAGACCTGGCAGTGAAGCATTGTAGAGACATCCCTAGAAACATAAAGCTAGAGGCTACCACAGATAGCCCTGAGCGGCCAAGTGGCTGCTCTCACCAAGGAAGGTTTGTTCTCTTGGGGAAAAGGCTTTCCAACTAATAAGACAAATGTGTTTGCCAGGTAAAGCACAGAAGGAAAAAAAAATCATGTATACTTGCAATTTGCAAATTTGTAGAGCTCCTTGTGCTAGTAAAATGCTGTTTCTTGTTTTCGTTGGGAGAGTTATCTTTTTAGAAGGGTCTTTCTCAATACCCTAGTGACCAACCAATTGGGAACAGAATTTCTAGGACCTTTAAAAGAACAATAAAGAAATTTCTTTATCAAATGATAACTGAGTGAAGGCCTTCAAAGTCAACATTAAGTAGAGAGACTGTCTTCAAGCTTGCTGACTTGTCCTCCCTGTGGAGAGTTGACCACCTGCAGCGCGGGGAAGCCAGTGCAGGCTTCCCCAGCAGGCATTCCTCCCTATGGGTTAAGAAACGAAAAAGGACAACACTCTGAGCACAGAGAGGCTGTTGCGTGAACAATGGCAGGAAATGTTAGACATCAAATTCTAAGACAAGTTTCTCTTCAAAACACGAAGGAGTGTAACACATGGACTTGTGGTCAGCCTGCAGTGTTGTTCTGAGCCCTACTTGTGTATGATTAGTTCCCTTGACTTGTAACAAAGATTTGGTAGAGAAAATAGATTCAGTTCAACTGGGAACAAGGATCAAGAATTGTCTTTGACTTTGTCAATCCTCTGTTCAACTATTTCCCATTTATGACTCCTAGAAACCTACTTAGAAACTCAGTGAACTCCAGTCCAGACGGACGGATAACAGGGAGGTAATATAAAAGGTCTGAATGATTATTCTCCATGTCCCACCATTTTTGTTCCTGTATTAACATTTGTTCATATGCTAATATCTCTAAGCATTCATTGGCTTTACAGTCATAAGAGAACATAACGAGTTAAAACCAATCCTAGTCCTGCTTTTGAGACAGTATGAGGAAAGAAACTTATAGAGGACAAATGAGAGATACAGGCTATCTATGGAGAGAGATCATCAATTCACAGGTGGGGGTCGCTTCTCCAAGAAAAGGTGCAATCTTTCCAACACCATTGACATTCCTTACTGAGGCATCACTGCGGAAAGTTCTTGCTAATCACAAATCACATGCACATCGGCCATTCCTGGCAAAACATATTCATGCATAGTTATGACTTAATCAAGACCATGTTGAACATAAGAGACACATAATGGGGAGAAAGGAGTGGCCAATCAAACTTTAAGATGTCAACCGGGTTACACAGTGGCCTTCCCCTTGTGACTTCTACACATTCATTCCTTCTAAACACTCTACAAGTGGGGCATTTCCCTGCAATGGCCAAGTCACCGCGATGTACCACTGGCACACTGCACTCTACAAGTGGTTTGGACAGGATGACTGAGTGTACTCTTGGGGCTGAGGCTTCATGATATGACGTGCCCCTTCTGGAGCCAAGAAGAGGGTTCAACCAGTCTGTTAAAAAAATATGTCAGAAAGGATTGCACCTTTAGCAGCCATGGTTGGTTGGTCAACAGATGAGCTGCTGGATCATTCCCCCCTCCACCCAGAGAGAAAGTGAAACTGAGTCCTTTTAAGTTGCTAGATTTATCCTGATAGCAAGCCAGAACCCGCTTTCTAAGCTGGACTTGAAGCTGTTCTTCTTTGTCAAGAACAACAAGAACCAAAATGCTAAAATTAAAGTCAATGGTAGCTCCTTTTAGCAAGAGCAAGCGGTCTTCTGATTAATAATATAGTTTGTTTTTAAAAAATCACAGTATTACTTTCTTCCTAATATTTAACATTACTTAATGCAGTTTCCTGCTATATGTAATAGTAGCATGCTGTTGGGTCTACTATTATCTCAGAGCCCAGTGAAGCAAACCTTTGGCTGACAGAGTAGAGAGAACTCATTTCATATTCGGAAAGCAAAGACTTCATACAAAATAGAAGAGTATTTGGACGGATGTGCCATTTCAAGACAGTACCGGTTGGGAGCTACTGGAGGCAAACAGAGGGACAGCTGCTAGCCTTGCAAATCATACATCCAGTCAACATCATAATGCAATGCACAAGAAGCCAGCAGCAACTGAATATATGGGAGGTTTGGCTGAAATACTGTGAAAAAAGCAACCACTGTAACTGTATAAAACTTGCTCTCGACATAACATAACATAAAGGCACCATTGATATCTTTCTCGTTTTTGAAATACTGTAAAAAATTGCTACATATGGCACATAACACATTTTTACATACATATATTTAATTTATAAAAGTTTTTTTTCCTGTTTTCTATTTGCAGAACTGCTAAAATAAAATAAATTGTTTAATTTAAGGTGAAATACTTTATTATATAAAATAAAGTTTTACAGGTGAATCTATGTGTTTATTTAGGTTTATACAGCGATAGGGTCTTGGTTAGCGATTACACTAGACAGCCTGGCCTGTAATTCTTCCTGCGTGGAGAAGCGGCCTGCTGGGTTAGTCCTGCTATCAGCCAGACGGAAGGCAGGGGCTGCCTCGAGACTGGCTGCCAGGGGGTTCTGTATGCCCAGGAATGGTGTATCTTCACCTATTCTTTCATCTTCTGTTTCACTTTCTGAGTTACTGCTCACAGAACTTGTGTTGTTGTCCATTTCCAACCGATTGGCAATGTGGCCATTGGGCTTGGTTCTTTTGGCCCGCCGGCTGTTGGTGAGTTTCTTTACAGGCTCTTGAACGGGCTCGTACTCCTGGGTCGTCTCATACTCCTCATCCTCTACTATCCTCAGTGGGCTAGGGGGGAGACTGGCACTCTGATGCGCAGGGTTGTGATGAAAGGAATTGAGTTGCTGGGGGTGACGATCACACTTCTTCTCCCGGAGTCTTGGTGGTGTCACGAGAAGCAGAGGTCTCTCTTCTTCCACAAAGGGGCTGACTGCCACGGAGGGCATGGACACCGTCATGCTGGACACGGGTGGAGACATTTCCGAAGGGGGTGATTTAGGGGAGCTTGGCGTGTGGAAATCTACAGGTGACATACGAGCCGGGGTGGTCATGGCTGATACATACCTGTGTGAGCACAGAATACCCCCCCGTGAGTGCAGTGGAAATAAGAAGCGGAAAGCAGGGAGGGGCGGGGGACAGAGTTCATCATGGGATATAGTCAGAGAACAGTCATCATCGAATACTTAAGTTTTACACTAGAAGTTCGGCACCCTTGGATCCTATCATTATAAAGCCAAGAGTTTCCTTACAGAAATCATACAAAGATCAGCTAAAAGCATCTAGCTCATTAAAGCTTTCGAGAGTTTAGTCTCATCATGAATTCAAATAAAAGTACGAGAGCCAAGAAAAGAAGGCTCCCAAGAACCTCTCAGCTTACAAAGACCAAGGCTTGGGGGACTTAGAAGGGAAAGAAGTATTCTGAAATACTATACCTTCCTAAAGGCCAAGGGGTCTTAGAGAATGAAGCCCAAATGGGGAATGGAAGAGGATCTAAGATGAGTTGCTGACTGCTGGCTCTGCATGCATTTGGATCTGTAAGCCTTGTTTCTCCTTAGCTCAGCTATAAGGTTATGTCTTATGAAAAAAAAAGAGCATAGTAACTTCAAGATTTATTCCTGATAACAGCGTAGTACATTTGCGTGCCATTAAGTTGAAATTCTCGCGAAATGCTACTAGTTCACATTCAAATTTGCAACTCTCCGTTTCAGGGTGCAATACATTCAAGGCAAGGCTGGTAGGAACCGTTATTTGGTTTCACATTACCACAGCGGCCACTAATGCCAATCTCCCATGTGCTGCTCGTCCAAAGCCCACCATTGCATCAGCCTTTGGCTTCCTTCTGAGAACACTTGACAAAGAAACTCCAAAGTGTCTAGCAAGCCTTTGTGTATACCATGATATCTTATGCCATGGTATGTTTGTGAATGCCAGCAATCCAGTCCAGACACCGTGCCCTGTTTTGCAGCACTGTGCCTTCCCTAGAGCCGGAAGGCCCGTCCCTTGGGCTGCCATCTGAGTCATTTTTCTCAGCTTTTGAGAGCGATGCTACTAGCGCACAGCATCACAGTCTAATTCGATGTGACCTGTGATGACACAGGATACTGGAGCTCTCTGAACTCCAGCTAATGGAAAAGAAGACTATTAACGCTCCCACTTTCCCATGATTCATGGTGATAAGTAAGCGAGCCCCAGCTGTGTTTAAAACTGGAAAAAGTGTCTCAGAATTTGAAACATTTGGAGCCCACGTGTGCAGATATTTTTTTGAGGGTACTTAAATTAGACCCTCTGAGAAATGCTTGTCACAGCTCAGACAACACATACAAGTGACTCATCTTTTTGTCTCTCATGATCTTTCACTTCAAGACAGTTCCACAATTCTAGGTAGAATCTGGGTGATGCCTGGATGCCTACTTTAGCAGACAGAACCAAAGATAAGCCATGACAATGTAGAGAAACTTCACCCTACTACCTGTGTGTGTTCCAAGAAGGCATAACAGGAATGGAGAGACTTCAATATGCAAAAATATAATTACTGAGGATAAATGCTCTAAGCCAATTTTAGACCACACTCTTCTACAAATGTGTTGTAAAGAGAATACCAACTCTATAAATTCTATCCTTTCCGAAACTGATTTAGGAACTTAATAGGCTCTTTGACCTGAAAGCTCCCAATGGATTGGTCACTGTACTTTCAGGTCCTTAAGTGAAAAGTTCTTTGAAACCATCTCCACCCATGTCACTGCAAAATACATATGGATTATAATTAAAATGTCAGTTGGAAAAGATCAGTTGTGATAACAAGAAAGTAAACCAATTGGATTGGAAAATCAGCAGGTAACAGCTTGCAGATGGGCTAAGATGTCAGTTAGCCATGACCTTCTTTTTACATAGGTGAAAATGGATAAGGAGACTATCCAAGTTCAACACCCCTATTTAGTAGCTCCTCCAGTTTATTTTTTTTTTCCATTCTTTAATTTGCCTTTGTTGTTACTTCTCCAACCCAAATTACATCTCCCACCGAAGGAAAGGCAAACATTCTGGAATAAAGGGTAATATCAGAGGCGATATGTGCTTTGGAAATCACCTATAAACACTGTCAGGCTAATCACACAAAACCTTTATTTATCCATCACTTCCCGGAATTTCATGAACGGGACACTATATGGTGCAACACAAGGTGGTGTTCCCTCGTGGCCATCAGCAAAGACATAGCCCTTGACTTGATCTAACTGAGGCCAGAGGTAGGGCAATTAGCATATGAGAACATAAGACCAGATCAGCCATGGAGGTAGAGTACGGACAACTGGACAATTGGAATTAGGTGAGGGTACTTAAATGTTACACCTGGAGAAAGTATGACCCTGAGTGAGTCAGAGCCTAGGGTCAGGTCTGGGAACTCCATGTTGACTGTACGGCCCACACCACACCACTCTCACTCTTCAAGAGTCTGTTGCCTTTCAGCCATTGAGATGATGGGAGAAGCACAGGGGAAAGGAGTTCAGCCAAATAAGAGGATGACTTCACCAACTAGGAGCACCGGGGAACGGATGACACCTCTTATATAAGGATGAATTTCGTTAGGTGAGGCCACAGGTACTCATGGGATTCTCCTACTGAATGAGGTTCTCCTCCACGACAACTTTGCCCTTCGGTTTTACCTTTCGCTATGAGGAGAGTCTCGGTACGAGTCAGGGGTTTCTCTGGCATGCCTGAGGAAGCTGTTACATTCGCGAGGGCCTCCCAGACCGTGAAGACGTCCTCGTGGGCCCCCAGCTGGGCTGCTGTGTCTACTGTTTTCTACTGATGACATCATGATTACAGAGTGGCTCTCTGAAATGATGCTCTCTGTGTGCCCGTTACTCCAGCTGGGTAGGAGGGAAACGGAAGAGGCAGTGAGAAAGACTGGTTTAATTACACATAAAAAGGCAAAGAACAAAAGTGATTCTGGCCAATATTTCAAGTTATCTATCGATACACCAGGAGCCCAGAATTGATACCAAGATCTCTTGGTCGTGAAGGGAATCTTGATTCAGATTGGATTTGTAAACACACTGTTCATTCATTTCTTTATCCATTCCACAAATATTTAGCAAATGCCACCAGGTACTAAGTATTATTGCAGTTTCACTGTGCTTGGATGGCTTGGGCTAAACAAAGGGATTGCTGTGTGCTTAGCAGCTGGAATCCTGCTGCTGTACCCCAGCACAAGACCACAGGAGCATCAGAGAACTGAGTGGTCAGCTATGTGGGCATCTCCAGGGGCACTGCCAGGGCAGTCTAAGCTTTAGAAACAAATGCCTAAGTATCACACAGAATCTAGACGGATTTTTTTCTCCATAGTGGGCAGCAATAGCGGAGTACAAGACACGGCAATTTCTAGACTGAGGAGCAGCAAGCCTGCACGGTAATAATGTACTAAGCACTTTTATTAATTTTAATGGAAACATTAGGCCTAGACTTACTTGGTAAGAGCAGTTTAGACCCAAAATCTATGAATGCTCAAACTCAGTCCATTTTCCTGCTTCTGTCTCTTTTGCCTTTTCTTAGGAATTGACAGTAAAGGGTAAGAAACAAAAGAAATCATTCTTCGGAAAAATTTCTTCCCTCTGAGATTGTTTCCCCTCATACCTGTGACTGGGAGTCTGGGTGACAGTTGTGGAGTGATGAGCCGTGGTAGTGTAATGGCTGGTGGAAAAGGAGGTCTCGGCTTCTCGCTCAACAATATGCTCACTGGAGAGGACGTTTTTAGACACGTATTGCTAGAAAAGCAAAGAGACACAACTTGAAAATTCATGCAAGGGTAAACACAAACACACTCATCCCGGTGCAAGTCGGTTCTCATGCGGATACTTCACGTAGCTCTCAGCCAGCCAGATGGCAAATCCTTTTCGGGCCACTCTGGCTTTGAGGTTAGATACCTCAATAAATTCCAGTCAATAAATTCCTTTCCGAATATTTGCACAAGAAATCTCAACTTCATTTCTCTCATTTCCAACTGATAACAGAAATATCACAAATATTTGGTCAAGTATTATTTTTGTCCACATTTCTCCAAGCCAGGAAGACTGATATACAAGGGAAACAAAAATGTAATATAGGCTGACTTATTTCAATTCATGCCACTAGAAATGGATGTGAATTTTAATATTGTAGATCTTCCTCTTTGAATTTCATAGGCCTATGCTAGCCCTACTGATATTACTGAAGATGTTAACATGCTGAGTGATATTTGAGAGACTTATACTATTTTTAAGGTCTGAACAAATTGCACATACCCAGTATTTTATCTCTGGGGAATCTCTTTTATTTTCATCAGCAGAACACAGTAGCTGTTACTGCCGGCTAACAGTGAGATGCTATGTTGGAAAAGATTCTTGTAAGCTGTTGGAAGTGCCCTTCGTATTTCTAAAACTCTGAGTGAAATCAGCTAAACCACAAGGAAAGAATCAGAAAGAGATATTTAGTAAAAAGGATATTTTAGAGTCTGCTGAGATTGTGTAGTCTGAAGAACCTGATATTCATGAGAGGGATTTCACAGGCTGGCTCTTTCTGTTTCTAGAAACACTTTTCCTTCTGGAACTTCCAGGGAACAACTTTCCTAGGGGCAGCTGCTTATCCTGAAGGCCACACCATGAGCTGCTACCACGTTAGTGCCCTTCCTACTCTTAGCTTCTAGAGGCATTCTCCACCCAGTGGATCTAATAAAAATACTATCTAACAATTACTAAGTAGTTACTAAGCGTGCTGGGTTAAGTGTTTCAGGCAAATTATTTTAGTAGAGTTGGTATTATTTTTAGTCCTGCTATAATGAAGAAATAAGGTTGAAAAGGGGTTATTTGTGCTATACTTGCAATCCAAACAGTCATGGTCCTTTTGCTGTTATATATTATGTTATATATCAATCTATATCAAATTAAATATATTACATTATATATATTAAATATTACAGTTTTACTGTTAGCGAGTGTATTTTTTGACCTTGAAGAGCATTCTAATGAACCCCATTATTGGGAAGAAGCAAAAGCTTCCTATTGGCCCTTGGTTCCAATATTTTCCCCAAACTCTGTGTTATGAGACTTGGGGGAAGTAACCACCAGCTAGTAGTAACCTCCAGCTCCAGACTTAAGTCTATGACCCATCTTTTCCACCTAAGATATATCTTCTCTTACAGGACAGAAAGCGATATGACAAATTTCAAGCTTTGTCTATTGAGAAAACCACTCATTCCAAGGGAGGAATGGGGGACTACAGATTCCAGGAGGAGAATGGGGACTACAGATTCCAGGGGGAGAATGGGGGACTACAGATTCCAGGGGGGGAATGGGGGACTACAGATTCCAGGGGAGGAGTGGAGGGTTGGAACATGAACAACAATGCTTCAGAATTCAGGACATCTGGCAAGAACTCTGGTCCAGATTTCTTAATATGGAAGACCTCAACGAGGCTATGCAAAGGGTCTCAAGGAGCAGGCTAGAATCTAGTAACATTTGGAACGAAGTACGTGGCACAATAAAAAAAAAATACCCAAATGATTAAGGATGAATTTCACCTGAAGGGCATGACATCACACAGATGGAGCCAGGGAATAAGTAAGTATTACCTTCTCCTAGCTTTGCTCCTCAAAGAACACTTAAGAAATTTCCCGCCTTTTCATACCCCAATCTTCCATTGGAAATCAGAATCAGAAAGTCACATGTACCATGAAGGGCGGGCACCTCATAGAAACACTTCAAAGCCCCTGGCTTGGTTTGCTATGAGCCAGTGGTATAATACTAGAGTAGCCTTCATTTCTAAATGATTAAAAAGAAATATTCCTCATGACTCTAGTTTTATTATTTATTTTGTTTTTCTTTCTTTCTATGGCCTCCTTGCAGAACATACCAAATATTATCCCGAAGTCTTAATGACACTGCATAAGGGAAAAATGTGCTAATATAATAACTAAATCCATTTTTCAAATAGCTTTCATTAGTTTTTCCTGGAAAAACTGGGGGTTTCTGGAAGTCGTTGTGATAAGTGACAGCAGCTAATGGCCTAAGATTGCAAAGAACAACTTCAGTGTGCCTGAACGGCAAATGAACGCTTGGCTTCCCCAGTGGCCGGTCAACATACATTCACCAGCTGCACGTTCTCCGGTGGTGGGTTCGGATGGTGAGGCCCGTTGGCTATGTTCACCATGTTGTTCCGTTCAGACCGAAGGCTCTGCCTAAGCCGATCATGAAGCTTTTGCCGCTGTTTCCTGGATATGAGAAAAGAGGAGCACGTTCATCCCTATTACATCATTTTCCTGTTTGTTTCGCTACAGCCCAATCTCTATTCTCCTAACACGAATGAGCGGTTTGAGGCAGTCAATTGGTGGTGATAAAGGGGATACATCACTCGATCTCAGAATGAGCAATACCACACATCCTTAGAAAGCTGGCTTTAACAGTGAGATGGAATTCTCATAGAAATGGTCTACAAAGTTATACCATTTCTATGAGGGAGAATAAAAAAAAAAGGAGGAAAAGCAGAAATGTTGGTATTTGGCTAAATTCTCAATGTTCTTGGTGCATCTTTATCTCCATTATATATCGGCCTTATATATTTTGAACTATGGAATTGATAAGACTGGTTTCAGTCATAAATTTTCCTGTGTGATTTATTAAGGAAATTAACTTAGCCTTCTTTTTTATTTGTACATTTTACACAGTGAGTGTGTGTGTGCACATGACCCACACGGAAGTGGAATTCTGGGTATATTTTGGCATTATATTTTGGTGCATTTGTAAAAAGACTTTAAAAGCACTTGCAATGCTTTTTGTAGAGGAGGCGGTAAACGTTCAAATTTGAATCTGCTAATACTTATGATGCCAATTCCATGAGAAATTATATTTATCAGTCAGCTCTCACGGCATTCTAACCGTAGGATACTGTGTAAACACAACTCATGCTATAGGTTCTGTGGCAAAAAATGCATGGGACCTCTGTTCTGTAACACAACATTCGGAACAAGACATCACTATGACTAGTTTTGGCCAGAAAATATTATATCATCAGGCAAAACAGAAGTCACACCTCTGACTGAGCATTACATTTGAACTTGAGGAAAGCCTCACTGGAGAGAAAAGTTCAGGTTCCTCACTGCTAGGCCAAAGCATGCTAACAGGGACACCTGTAGAAGGCCAGGCATAAACAACTACATTATCTTAAAGGTTTTCTCTTTAACTTTCTTTTCGAGCAAATTCGACTTGCTTATCCTTCCACAAAAACTTTTATATACACATCCCACTTATAGAGCATTTATGTTGGAAAATTATAGAATTAAAACATACTCATTTTAACTCTCACCCCCCCACCAAAGAAACCACCAACAAAATATCCCACATACCCTTATCTTGAATACTATGAAATGTTTCCTTTATTTCTTAAGTTTCTGGACTTATCCTTCTGAGTCGCATTGGACTCATCCTCAATCTTTGGCATTTGTGCTCTTAGTAGGTTGTGCCTGTGTGGAACTCTGACCCATAAGCCTGTTCCTCTAAACCTTTGTCCATTCACAGAGCCCTGATCACTGAGAAATTTGCTTAGCTGCACACAAACAGACAAAGGTGCACGAGTGGGGAGCATAAGGAGGTTAAGTCCCTGTGCTTCTTTGCTCCCCAAGCCTTAAGCGTGGGCCCTGGGACTGCAGAGCCCCTGCCTGCCTAACCTACTTCTACACCAAGGGGAGTGGATGAGCCGAGGGGAAGGTTTACTTGGTTTTGCAGTAGGCCACCACACACATGATGCCGACCACCAGCAGGGCGATACAGATGCCAGTGATTGTCAACACTCTCTTCTGGTAGAGTTCCTCCGCTTCTGGAAAGGGGTGAGAGCACATGTCACCAAGGTCACTTACCATCGCCAGGATTTACGACAACTGAACAGTTGGCATGCTTAATGGCAATTACCCATGTCCCCCAGATAATGAGCACTTGACAATTCTATTGGTTTACATACATGTCTAAGGGACAACATATTCTATGCTGTACTCTGAGCATAAATAATATGGCTAGCTAGGGCCATTGAAAGTAAAACTGTTATATTTTATGATTTTTCTAATTGCAAGCTATAATTATATATATGTACAAGATATTAAACTGGAAAATTATAGACATTAATTACAAGATAATTTATTAAACCTTTATCAATGTTATTATTTTTATTAAATATCTTACAAAACATCTCTTGCAAAGACAACAGGAATCAATATTGATAAAGAGAGCTAAGATGGGCGTCAGGGAGACGGTCCATCCTTCCTTCCTCTATTGACCACCTGCCATGCCAATCCTCTTTCCACATCCCTCATGTTTTATATCATCACTTTACATCCGGTGGTCTTTACAAAGAGACATTTCCACAGTGAACAAAATTTAATTCAAAGGTATTTGCAAACATGAACTTGGCTTGTAGTTAGTAAGTTAAGGCAACAGTCCCACGATTTAGAGTAAATGAAGAAGAAGAAACAGTACACCGTGGGGGATCAGGACATGGGTCAGATAAAACCCAGCCTGATGGGTAAGGCACTTTGGGGCCACAGGAAAAGTTTGCTCTCTGGAGGAAAATGGCTATAAATTTCGCCGCTGAAGCTAGAAACTCAATTTGCATTAAGAAGTCCATCATTAACACAAATGATGGGTACTTTGGCCTAGATTGCACATCCCCACATCAGACAACTTGACCATTCTAAGGAAATGTGGTGCTCTCTAGAGATCTGAGCTGAAGGTACCATTCTACTCCAGATGCAGTAAGTCTGTAATTTGTTGAAACTTTACTAGCTGAAAATCAGTGCCTTTGGAGGATGACTTGGTTTTGTACAAAGGTGAGTCAGGGTGTAAACAAAATTTGTAGACTCACTGGAGATGCTGGTTGCTTAACAGCCAAGCTTACAATAATCTAATTGTATTTATTGGAAGATCTTGACACATTCACCCAGCACATATTATAAATGGTTTGTCTGCCATTAAAATTAATAAGCTGGGCCAGAACTGGAGAACACAGCACAAATCGAATGGCCATATCTGGGTGTCAACAAGAAAGGCACAAAGATTATTTTATTCATAGGTTGTTTTTTTTTTAAGCCTCAGAAGCTATACCTTTCTCTGCATTGAGAAAGGGCAGGTCACAGGAAGTTTTCTTTAAAAATGAATAAGTGAATTTTAACTTCTATCCAATTAGTGGATCTTATCATAAAAGAAAACGTTTCCTACAAGCCGAGTCCATGATAATCAAGTCCCAGTTAACAGGTCAAGAACATTGTCAAATCAAATTAATAGAGTTCTGATTATTAAGAGGAGAACAGAAGTCAGTGAGTAAAAGACGACAATACTGAAGAGATTATACAAAAACAAACAGAAAGGGTTGGAGGTGGAGAGGAAAAACAAATCAAGAGGACAGACAGACTGAAAGAATGACAGAGAGCAAGAAAGTCAGGTATAAGGGAAAAACAAGGTTAAAAGTTAGGGAGCCATCTGGAGTCCCTGGCACAGCATGCCTGATATTAAGGGAGAAAAAATAAACAAAGAAATGAAAACCAGACGGAGGAGATGCTTGGGGGGAGGGGGAGGAAAAGGTGGGTACAAAGTGGGAAGGGGTGTCCCATACAGCATAACTCCTAAACTGGGCTAGCCGTGACATGGAAGCCATGATTAAAAAGCGAAGCAGTTGGTGCATTGCGGTGCCAAAGTATGCAGGAGACATATAGGTGGTGTCGTGGAGCTAATGTGTTGGTGTGTGCACTGCAGAGGTCTAACAACGACATGACGGAAGGGCTTATGTGTTAACTGCCCCTATCTGTTACCCCCAGACAAAGGCAGGGGATTGGCTTTTATGAGGTGTGATCTGTAAGCCAATGGCCCTGCAGCCTCCCTCCCTGGCATCCACGGTTTTTAGTGTGTGTGTCTAAGAAGCATCATCTCATTCCACTGCTCTTCCTTCACACAGCACAAGCTTGTTCGGAAACGGAGCACTAACGTTGTCGTCGAGAAATGGCAAGCCCTGCATCCCACTTTTTGTCTAATGTACTTTTAAAAAAACTGGTGAGCTTTGGCAAGGGTACAACTCAGAGGTAGGACGCTGCCTAGAATATGGGAGATCCTGGGTTTGGTTTCACAAATGGATCAGGGTAGAAGAAAGGCTAAAAAACAAGCGTTTGGTTGCTGCTTTTCAATGACTCCCTATACTCTACCCTATGACACAGCTAAGAAATGGTTTCTGCAAACTTCAAAAATATGGGAGCATACAGAAGGACTAAAATGAGTATTGGGGCATCATGGGTTGCCCCCAAAACTCTCAGGGATCCCTACAAAAAGTTCTCTTTCAGCCGTTGTTGTCTAGGAAAGAACAGACTGAGGTGGGTACGTGACCAGCTAGCATCTAGTCATTGGCCTATTCTTATGGCTCATCAATAAAACAACTGTTCCAGGGACTAAAGTGTTCAGTAAAGGACAATGGGGCTAAAGGGAGCCAGCTAAAGGCAGGGAACACACACAGGATTAAGTCCTGTGCTCACCTCAGTACTGACTACAAGAAAAATTTCTCACCTAAACTTCTTAATTTTTTTTTTCATGATTTTGCTGCATCGGATTTACCTCCACAATCACAATATGAATGTTAAATGGGGGGGGGACCAGTCTTTGACAAACAGCATGTTCCCTTTTAGCCTATTGCTCTTGCTCTTTTCATGGAAATTTTAAAAAATTACCCCCCCCTTTTTTTTTTTTTTGCTTAGCAGTATCCACAGGGCAAGAGCAAATCAGAGCTAGTGCTAAAAATCAGCCCGAAGGTCTGGCCTGTCTCCACGAGTGGATGTGCTCCAAGTCTCTTTGGTTTGGCTGTATGGACTGAACTGCAGTGACTCACAGTGAGCACATTTTCATTGTGCTACATCCAGGAGAAAAGACAGAGTCGCTTGCTCTTGCTCTCTTGCTTTGCAATGACCCTTAAGGTCAGGTGTTGTTCCAGGACATAAACGACTGGTCTCCCCACGACAAAGTCTCTGAGAGGTGCGGATGACAGCATGCTGCCCATTTGAACCAGGAGGACAGTTGAAAGAGCACTCACACAGCATAACTATCTAACTCCACTATCCAGAAGTAGAAGTAATAAATTGTATGGTCAGACCAAAAAAGCTCCTCTGAGTGGGGAAGTTCTACTATTGAAAAAGGTAATTCTGAGGGTTTGGCCATTGGCTTCCCATAGTGCTATGAGATTTCCGGCATAGGGAGCCTTCTTTTGAGGAAGGCAGAACCCTCAAGAGTGATGTGTAGACCTCCTTGTGTTTCCAAAACTTAGGAGGTTTTTGTTTTTCTTTTTAATGCCTAAAAGCCCATTCATTTAAATTTGGGCTTTTTTGTTTCAACCTACAAGATGAATAACTATCTTCTTTTTATTTTCTCGAAGAAATGACAATTAAGCTCCCCTCCCTGTCCCTGCCAGGACTGGCTACTGCCTCATGCATCACCAGTGATGTTTCTGAGTAGATGATGTTCTCAGCCAAAAGGAGACGACAGCCTCAGGATGCTCTTGTTGCACCACGGGTGAGCCGCAAAGGGAGCAGACAGTTTGCTGATCATAACATGGTGCTTTCGACCCAAGACTCAGTTGGGTTCTTTCAGACTGCTCTCACAAAGAGAGTGGACCCTTTACCCATTTTTTTTTTTTTTTTTGGATGATGGGCCTTGTGGACTATGTCTTCATTTCATCTGCCTTTAGGGGCTTTGTTGTTCTGATATTTACAGGTAAGCTTTTCTACGTGATGACTCCTCTCGGTAACCTTAATCTTAGTGTTTCCAATTTAATTCTATCAGCCCTGGAATGTCCACCTAAAAGAACATCCTTTGTTTTCTATTTGCTTGCTTATAAGCAAATCAAGTTGACTAGAGTCGTCCTTGAGGATGTCCAAGAAATCTGAGTGCTTCAGTGCATAGAACACTACCTCAGTGTAAGATACTTAAATTCTATGATATTGACTAGATGAATTTTATGTTATATGTAAACCCCAATCGGGCTATCTTTTACGTGGATGTACTTAATTTTTTTCCCCTCTGACCTTTGGTTTGATTTCTCCTGTAGCCTATGCACCACTCCAACTTACCCCAGCTTTTAAGTACCAGCATGGTCCAATCAATGGGTCACACAATGTGGGGTCTATGATAAGGTGCAGCAGGTGGGACCCCTAGTCTAAGTAAAGAGAGGCTTGGAAATTTAAAACCTGCTGCACCCCAATAACATTTCCATAAACTAATCGTAGATGGAAAGCAGAGAAACCAGTGTTATAGCTGTATGATCCCTTCTAAAGAAAAAGAAAATTAGTTAGGAACTGAAAAGCAAGAAGAGGAAGGGCAAAAGGGTTTCAGCTCAGAGGCTCTACATTCTGCAGGTTAAAAGGAATGATGATTGGTCCATACCCATAAATTCAATCCCAAGATGCTCTGCCAATGCAGAAAGTTGACAAAAAAAAAAAAAGAAAAAAGAAAGGAGAAAAGTTTCAGAAAAGAGCAATACACCGCACTCCAAAACAAATTAAACACAATTACGACAGCTCTGTGCGTGCACACCGAACAGGACAGGCGGTGAGTGTTACGGAAGCATGCTCAGGCACGCGCGGCCCCACTGGCGAGGCGGGAGAGCACAGGGTCTTTAGTAACCTTCCAAAGCTTCTACCGAGGGAGGTTAGGAGCTGAACCATGCTTGACTCGTCATTCGAGAACAGACGTATTTTATAACCAGCAAAAGCATTTGCAATAAGTTGATTTGTTTTTAGAAGACATTCTGAAAAGTTTTTGTTTTTGGTTTCGGTTTTTGAACTAAATGCATCCAGTGGCAGAGACAGGCATAGATGCCAAGACAGTAACTTGGTTTGAAATTTGTACTGCACTGGATTTGCTTTTCCTTGCTGATGGGTAGTAATACTTTTGTATTACTTTTTAAAGTTGTACCTCTGTCACTTAACTTTCCAGTTCCTTCGCTACAGACACCAGCCATTTCATTCTAGGAAAACAACAAAAGCTTCTACCCAGAAACATGACCAAGGGAAGCCAGGTTATTGGTGACTGTTTTCAGTTTTTCATACAGTTTCTGTGTAGTATTGGGCAACATGAAACCTCGCCTTTTTCAAGTTGAAAAGAAAAAGGTTTTTTTCCCCCTAGGTGTGTTATATGGAGATTCAGTTTCTGGGGTCTTTATTGCCTTTTCAAACTATTAGTTAGAGGTAATTAGGTCAGCTCTCCACAGTGCTGAGCTCCGGTGGGCACAGGTGCCAAGAGAACCCTCAGCACCACCCAGGGAAGTATGAGCCGATGCCCAGCATTTCCACAGCTCTGTACAAAGTCCGTGCAGCCAAAAATGGGCAATGAGGGGAACGGGATGAGACAAAGAGAAAAAAATTCCCAGGAAGGATACTTTGCCTTCTTGGAACAAAAGTTGACAGTCAAGTTTTATCAAGCATGTAGGCCTTCTCTCTTGGTGAGCCCAATGTGATAAGGGGGAAAGGTGAGTGGGAGGCAGGGATCAGAAGCAGATGTCTGTAGTCCCCTTTCTTAATGGATTAGGAAGAAATCGGGGGCACTCCACTAATATAATGAAGCAGCTCTCTTGCAGCATATGCTACAGGGATGTGGCTTTTACAAACCATCGGTCAGGGCATGGAGAGAGCAGCCCTTAAAGACACGAGATGACTGGAAGGGTCGATCGTGGTTCCGATCCTGTCTCTCCCACTCACCTGTTTAGTAACCCTGGTCAGGCTTATGGCTTACTGAACAAATTCAGGATAACGCATGCTCACTAGTGAGCCTATGGAACGAACTAATGTCTGCAAGAGCAGAAGGCTCAGAAGTCCGGGAAAAAAAGACACGTCTATAGATGCATCATGGGACAAGCAGTGCAGTACATTCATGATTACTCTGAGTAATTTTATACAGGGAAAAACTGAATGCTCCTAGGATCTATCTGGAAAAGGAAAATAGATGATTTTGCAGCCCTTTCAAGAAATGATGATTCCTATGTCAAAAATATATCTTGGAAATGGGAGGCATGATCTATAATGACCTCTGATGTGGGTCTGGTGTACATTCACAAGTAGTCTGAATTTTTCCTAAATTAAGAACTAGAATTCTTAGGGTTAATTCCGTTGTACAAGAAATTCATAATGAAATAATCTATTCAAATACAAATGAATTTCTCTTGCCTCTGTGCAATTCGTCAGACTGACATTTTTCCCATTTGCTTTTTCATATAAACTTTGGAACATCAATGTGAAAAAAAATGGTTTCTAAGGAAATTGATAATAAACTTCCTTCCTCATTTCTTTCATGAAGCTATGATCCAATTTTCTTCCTAGAATCTTCTGTGTCTCTTCCCTTTTCCTCCTATAAGTCACTAATAACTTAAGGGTTAAAATCAAGACATATCTATAAAAAATCCTTTCCAAAGAACTACTCCATTCCTATGTGAACGCTTCTAATGATTTGTATTAGTTGCATAGAAAGCTTGGTTAAGTCTTCAATAAAATTAGTAGCATGCCCATGCATACATATTACTGCATTTACAGTTTTATAGGTAAGCCTGTGAGCCTAACTATAATTTCATTTCAAGGGAAGTCATTCACATCAGGCAGCTCCAATTTTAAATAATTCAAGGGGAAATTGGTACTTAAAATGGGAATCTCTTTTGGCGGTGAGCCCTAACAAGGAAACAAGCAGAGGATGCAAGCATCAGTCATTCTAGACCCAGAACAACGATGCTCTCATTTATTTTTATATCTCCTTCACTTTACGTCCAACAAAAGAGGCAGAATGCACAAACTTTCCATTAGGTAAAGAAATTCTTTCTATCTGCTCTATTTAATCTAATGCTGGTGCTAGCTCCTTATGCAGCACATGGGTCTAGTAGACTTCTGGCGAGCCACTACATCCTTCAAATTCAATTAATAATTCACAAACACGAAGGTTACTGTAAACAATTGAGTTTCCTTTTCTACATGTGATTTCCTGCCAGGACCATGGCAATATAAAAAATTAATTTAAATCTAAAGTCTCCTGAAACTATTAAATATTGACTCGCTAATCCTTTGTGTTAGTCTTTTATAATTACTTGACGAAAACTGATTAACCTGGAGGTTAATTTAAATTTTCAACTGCACTAGTGAGAAGAACAATAAAATAACTTTCTTTCATCAAAATTAGACATCCCTTGTAATTATGGTTTCTGTTCAAATTTCACAGCATTCAGGATGCTATTTTTACCATCTTTGGACTTGTTTATGCAAGTAATCTCGAAGACATGCCGTCTTGACTTTCTGTATCTCTGGAGTTTTTCTAAAGAATTCTAATAATGCCTCTTTTAAATGGGATGAATTTAGTGTCTTGACTCTAATTTCAGACTTACCTTTACAAGTGTAGATGCTCTTTTTTACAATCTGCATTGTTATTAAGCCCTTTGAAATGTAATAGACTTCTGCCCTATTCCCCAGTTTTCATGTGCAGAAGAGCACACACACACACACACACAATGCAAATTTCACACTCATTTGAAATTTATGACGATTCTGTCATCTGTGGAGAGCTCTTTATTCCACTGTTAGCAAGATACATGTTATATATGTCTGATACGTACATTATCTTAACAGCCTCTTTAAAACATTTAGAAATCAATGAAATAATGTATGTGCTAATAACCAATGGCTCAAAAGTACTTTTAAGGCTGAGAAGTCTACTCATCTTGAGAATGTGCCTCAAGTTCTAAATGTCCACTTCAAAACCATCTATAATGTGAGCCGTTCTATATTTAGTTTCTATGGCTTGCCAGCTTCTCCAGGACACGCTTACCCCATGCGGCCTCCGGGTACTGGAGCTCTGAATGTATTTTCCCTTTCCTCCACAGAGTCTACACATTGTGTGTGGGCTGCTTACACATATGCCACCACACGCTAGGGATCAAAGTATCACACCTAGGGCTTAACTAGGAATTAAACTGTAATAAGTCAGATTTAAGGCTAAAGTGGGATGATACTTTCTTAAGTATATTATATTATATTTCAAGACAAATGGCTGCCATAAACTGTACCCCTTTCTTTCATAATTTAAATCAGCATTTGTGGGTCAATCAATAGAATATTGTGACCAAAATGACTATCTGATCTTAATAATATAAATTACATGTTAAACATGTTGAAGAATTGTATGTTCTCTTTGCAATGTTATTCTTCAACTGAGAATATGATTTTGGTAAGTTGTAACCTCTGTGTGACGCAGGATTCTTCTCTTTAAAGATCGCGTCACATTCTAAGACAGTGTGTTTATAAACAAACAATCACATTTTCAAGTGACCTCTGTGGGAATATCTTCTAGATTCTCTTTCAGCATCCACTGTTGCTTCACCATGGAGTACCAAAACTTACTCCCCTGTCTGCCTATCTACTGTGGGAGATACAAACTGAGAACTTCAGAGGCAAACATTAGAAAATGAACTCTGGACAAGATGATTCGGGGGGGAAAAAGTGGTGTCTGATTGGAAACGCTTGCTCCTCCAGACATGTGGCATCAATAACGCAGCCATTATGTGCTGGCCTCATGACTGAGCTTCCTATCAATCCTTGTTAAATCAAGTTAAACATGAATGCTAATTTCCTGCATGCCTTCCCAAAGTGTCACTGAAAGCTTACTAAAAATTTCATTGTAGGAGCCTCATCCTGAACCTCAGACAAAGAGGCTAATTTAAATAATGCCAAATAAAAGAGAAAATGGTGAAAAAGTGAATGAGCACATATTTGGTGGTTACCAATGGCAGAGTTAACAGAGTTCTGCAAAATATTTGTATTTTTAATGCTTGCCCTTATCTAGGGAGCCCACCTTCTACAAGACATCTCTAGTGACTGAGAATGTATAAGACATATAAGAATAGCTTACATCTTTCATTAAATTCTAAAAAGTAGATTTATACCTATACTATCATGCGGGCTCGCTAAATCTATGCTATTTGAATACAACCAAACAATTCAAAAACTGATTTTATTTCATTACATAAAATCCTACTTTCCCTTCTATTTTTAATATCTATCCTATCCATTTAAAAATACCTATAGCTATTGAGAGAAAATTCATGTCTGATAAATGCTGTTATTTAAGTACTTATTAATACAGTGAATATATTTCAAAATTTAACAATACCAACTTGCCAGTTTTTACAAGGGAAAATTATAGCTTATGGCACAATCTTTGATAACATAGTCTATGGAAGTACTTAAACCTCATCTCACTAAAAATATGACTACTATTCTGATAGCATCCATGACGCTTATTTTTTTTTTATTTTTGTTTGAAGACAAGGCTTCACTGTGTAGCTCTGGCTGGCCTCTAATTCAGAGAGATCACCTGCCTCTACCTCCTAAGCACCGATATCTCAGACGACTAACAGAACTTTATTCTGCTCATGAATCAAAACCAAGGGTAAATCTCGGATTCTTTGGACACCTAAATGACCAGCTTGTGTGATTACTTTCAATGTTTGAAGAATTTAAAACGTAGTGAGCTATGTAAAACACTCCTGATGATTTCTAAATTGATAGGATTGGCAAAAGCGGGCTTGTGCTGATGGTTGTAAGTAAAGATTTAATGGAACACAGGCCAGCCCATCAGTTCGTTCATTAGCTACGACTGTCTTCAAGCTATAAGATGGGAGAATGGGGGCTCGTTTTACATGACACCTTCACCACAAACCTTAAAGTACTTGCCATCTGAACCTTCATAGTAAAACCATACCAATTCACGATTTACATGATTAAGTGGGATCTAGGCAATGTGATGCTCTAAAGGTTTCAGAGGCCAAGAGATACCACCCCAGGTCACGAGGAGACTGAGGGTATCGAGTTGAGTTTCTCAGGAGGTTATCTACACTGTGGAGTGAGGAGTTCAGCCATGATGTTTAAAACACCGTGACCTCACAGACATCCCTAAACTTGCCAGCTCAGCATTAAACATTTTTATATGTCTTCTAGGTTTGAGTTATTATATTTTGAGTTATTTGAGTTATTATATATTTGAGTTATTATATCAAAACTGTGATAGCTCCTTTCTAAGATTACCCTTTAAGCAAAATAAATACACGGATTAAGAAACACTAGGATAATGGTGATTAACTAAACTCATTCTGAATTACTTACTTTCCAAGAAACATAACTATGAGCCTGGGTACTGTCTTGGCTGGGAAATATTTGATTTTAATTTTTTCTACCTAGTAGTGTTTTGCTTTTTTTTTTTTTGTCCTTTTGCCTGGATGTGAACTTTGCTTAATGAAGAAAAACATCTGATCTCTTCTTGTGATGTTTATTTGATATGAATAACACACTCTGAGCCAAAATCAACTTACCATCATTTCAAGGGTATGTTGGTTACAACCTAACAACGGCCTTTGCCGACTGTGGATGTTGGATACAGAAGATGGACTGCTCGATGCAATGATTTTATTTTATCAATACAAGTGCAAGTCTGAAACGTCTATTATTATTTCACTCCTCCACGTGGACTACCCACATTATGCATGATTGATCTCAGAAACATCCGGAGCCTCACACACCTACTAGCAACTCAGAGCCGACTAGTCACACACAGAGGAGGCCACACAATGGCTTTGTTAATGGTCTCATGCGACAAGCAGAGGCAGTCAATATTAGACCTGGTAGAACACGCTAGCTCTAGGTGACTCTGAGGGGAGATGTAGCAACAAGAAAGCAGCACCGACTGAGCATGCTCCTATTCAGGCAGAGACAGAAAGGGAGTGGACGTACTGTAGAAGCTGGCCATTACGTAGTTTTGGCAACGATCACCAGTAAACTCATTTGGGCACCTGAGAGAAGAAACAAAAAAACAATGGTAGAAAAAAAACAGAGAAAAAAGAGAAGAGGTGAATATATGCTAGAGAAGGTCCTTGCGTGTCATTGACTGAACTTGGTGAGTTCACCCTCAGGAACTGAATCCTTGTCCTAATCATGGCTTTTATACTCTGGCATCTCCCCCGTGCTTAAAAATTTAGACAAAAAAAATTCAGTTTGCAGCCATCTATGACAGTGAGATTCCAGGATATCTAGGTGACTGCTTTCTTTCCAAAGAAGTCACCAGACAGACTGATGGTTTAGCCATCTAGTTGGAGAAATAGGTAGAAAATGATATGGAGTTGGCTCACTGCTGACTCCCAGAATCACAGGCCACTCTGACCAGCCATGCCTTCACATTTGAACTTTGGGACCTAAGTGCATGACAGGCAACTGAGACCACCGTGGATGGGTTCATGCCCTGAGTCGGAGACACCATAATTAGAACGAAAGGAATCAGTTACAGCTGAGCCGTAAAAGCACCAAGTGGTTGCGATTGTTGCTGTGGTTTGGTGGAGAAAGCAGGTTTCAGATTATTTGAACATACTTTCTTGGGTTTGGACTTTCATGGGCACATTCTCAGTACATCTTGCTCCAGTGAATCCAGGTTGGCACCTAGAGGGCAGAAACGTGATAAGCAATCGAGCGCTCAAGACACTGAACTGTCAGCCTGGTAACCTTCCTCCCATGGCTTATGGAGTCCTAAAAATGACCCGGTGCTGAACAACACAGAAAGGGAAAGACGCGACACTCAGAAAGCCAGTCCCGCCAAACTGCGGCTTCCTCAGTGCGCTGCTTGCTTCCGTCATCAGAGGACTAGTTTCTGGAATTCAGCTAGAGAGAGGCTGCCAGCTGAACAGGGTGGCAAGGCCGGGGTTGCTCTCACCCTGCCTTGCCCAGAGTACTGATCTCGCCGTGTTAAAGCACTAGTGTTGACATGAGCTTTTGTGGCTCTGCTTACGCCTTTTGTTATCAAAAGACCTTGAGCCTTCAAGTTTATTGTGTATGCCCTGAGATTTCTACTCATTTCATATCTGTTTTCTGAGCTGTAAGTCGAAATGTGTAAGGAAAATAAGTCGAATACTGTTATTCTCTAGTGGTTAGTGATGAGAGAATGACAATCCCTATTTCTCCCCCCCCCCTTAAGAGTTAAAAAATGCAGTCTTATTTTTAATACTATTGCAAGAAACAGAATGGAATTTTATTGGTACAATTTCGTTCATTTAGTTCCCTCCAATAAAAGAAAAATGCATTCTTGAAATTAAAAGTTATTCTTGATACAGAAGCACACCATATGACATGTCACTTCTACATTTATGGCCAAACAGTCTGAACTGAATGTAAAAAGTTGTATTTTATTTATCCATATCAATTTGCTTATCAAAATATAAGACTTGATATAACTTTATTCTTAAGATCATACAACAGGGCCATTCTTAGACATGACACCCTTTACTGTTCCATGTTGCTAGGATGTAGTATCTAAACACTGTAGATTGGGTTTGATTGACCCAGTAACATGATGTAATAAGCAGGTATTGAAAGAGTTCTAGAAAGCAAATATACTTAGAGGCAAAAATTTATAATTGATTGCCAAACACACATATCCACATAGTTCATTGTAGATGTCTCAAAAATGCAGCCATATAGCCTAATTTGCTCTGCTAGCATTTATTGACTTAGCGATTTTTATATGTCTCTTATCTCTAGAGTAAATAAGGCTGGACATTGTCATTTTGATATTAAATGTTATTAAATCTACTAGTTCTGCTAACATAGGAGTGGTTTCCTTAATGTACAGGCTAAACTCAACAGAAAAAAGAAATGCTATTATGTAGTTTGGTACAGAAAATTCTCTTATTGCATGAAGGTGCAAAAATACTAGCAGTACCAGAGTTCCTGCCACATGACTACTTGCCCAGAATAACTGTGATCATTAAGGATAACATCACCAGGGCCAGAGAGATGGGTCAGCAGTTAAGAGTACATGCTGTCAAGCGAAGGACCCAAGTTCAGATCCCAGCAGCCACATCAAATAGCTTAAAAACTACCTGTAGGTCTAGCTCCCGAGACTCTGATGTCAGCTTTTGGCCTCTATGGGCATCTGCACTCATATGCACAGATTCCCCACCACACATACACATAATTATAAAAATAAATCTTTAAAAAAGAATATCAATAAATATATCAAGATGGTTCCAGTGAAGTCTCTAGAATTCTTGAATAAAATGATTATTTTTGCTAATAGGACTTTTCTGGAGGGAGAAAGATCTACCTAGAACAATATATAAGAACTGACTTATCAAGTAGGGGCTATTTCTATAAAGAAATTTATATTTTTGATATGAATGCCTAGAGAGAATTTTTAAAATACTCCATGGAGCTTATTTGACCAAATTATTTCTGAAAAAAACCCTATAAGACATTTCTATACTTAATTCTAGAATTACAGATACATCCCATAGTAACCATTTCATTCTACCTGTTTGCTTTCTTGATAAAAATTAAAATTCTCATATTGAGCACACTATTTTATTTTCTATAATTATATGGCAAATATGAATTCTGTGTATGTGTGTATGAGAGTATGTGTGGGAGAGAAAGAAAGAGAAAAAGAGACAGAGACAGACAGACAGATAGACAGATGGGGGTTGGAGAAGAAAGATCCATCAAACATAAGAACTGATATTACTGCTCATATTTAAAGATTATGTCATGAGGAAATAGCTAAGGAATCAAGAGTTTCTTAAGAAAAGGGCAATTATTGGGAAATTACAATTTAGGCATCTTAAGTTCCAAGCCTGTGACTAAAGAGTATGTGGCTACTATACAAATGGGGTAAAAATAATCTTCCCTACACACTTTCTAATTACTGTGAACTCTGTGTGCATCCTGGGAGATTAGCATTGTCAGATGCTGCGTTTTCTCTGCTATGTGGTCACACAGACTATTAGGTACAGTAACACATCACACAGTGAATGATCTTTGCTCTAGATATAGCTATTCTTAGTGGCGTTTTTCTCTATGTGCATTCCGTCTTCCAAACTAACACTGACCGACCGACTCCACCTCTTCCTCCTATGAAGGACTCCTTCCCTGGATCGTTCACTGTGCCTTGTCCCATGCCAGGTCCAGACCCCTTTAACCGGGTTTGCTGCACTGTGATGGATGGGATTGTTCATCGCAATCGCCCTGTATCTCGACTGCCAGACCCAATGCCTGCACGCTGTCTGTCTCATTTTAACTGCGGCTTTCCATAGAGAATGGGAGATCAAAACCCTCCACCAGGAAACGGATGTGTCAAAACAAGTCAATCTTGACGTGTACTTTTTGTCTTAGAGTTTACAACAGAATTTCCTCTGTGGACTTCCAAAAAAGTTTTAATAGGAATTACTAGTACCTGGGGATTTTCTTCCCCAAGTATAAACCTTTAACACTGTGCTTGCTCCGTTAAAGAGAAAGGGCTACGATTATTGAAGAGAATATCTATTACCTAATTAAATTTTGTTATTTAAACACCAGTTTACCTAAGACTCAATAAACTGCAACTGTGTTCTAACCAAGGTTTTTAACCTGACAGCAGTAACAAAAACACTAGAATTTTTCAAAACTACATTAGTATAAAAATGGCATGTATAATACTATGCGTTCTTAATTTTACATAGTGCCTGATGAAATAATTTAATTTTTAAGTCTATGTTAAGATAAATTCGAAACTAAGGGATGCTCAAAATTGCTTTGGCCAGAGACCAGGCTTGTTCTTACATGTAAGGTCCAAAGCTTGACTTTGGCTATAAGGTACATGATTTTTCTTTCAGCCAATAAGCAATCTCTAATGCTTTTCTATAATTTTTCTAGCCAGGCAATTTAACATTGCCAAATAATATTGGCAATTATAACTTACTCATTTATTAAAACTAACAAACATAGTTGGATCCTCATTTAAAAAACCATTTTAATAATGACAATATTTAATGGATGACCTGATGCATTTCCTAGTGACTCAATCATAGGTGCATGTGTTTTGAGAATTAGTGTGCGGATACTCTAGACATAGTCAAAGATATTTACAAATCCCCAAGAAAGTTCTGGTTCTATAGGGTTGGCCAATTTTATAGACCACTTATTAATTACAGTCAACGTATAAACCGTCTTTAGACATTTTCCTTCCTTTCTTTCCTGGTTTCATCCTTGTCCCTTGAGAACCCTAGAAGGAAGAGAGTTGACAGTCAGTGTGTTCTCTTTAGTCATGGCTCCACGCTCAAAACATTTGGCCAGTTTTTAAAATCCTGTGCTAGAAAGAGTATCACATCTTTCTGGTCTTCTTCAGTACTAAGGGTGCCATTTCTTTGCCACTGTAAAACACCTGAATTTATCTACTTGGTGTTGATATTTACAGATGCCAAGTCATGGAAATATCAACACACTCAGTATTGTGGGGAATACTTGCCAGTTTGTGCTAGGTGTCACAGCTGCCTGCTGTCACTCTGGAAACCTGCGTTGCCCTTGGATTCAGCTCTCAGACTGCTCGGCTGACTGTCTCCAGTATCACATTGCAAACACAGACTTTTCTCACCCCATAGCTGGCTTGGTATTCTGGCCAGAGCTCGCCTACTCACCGGCTGAGTATCTGCATTGTCGATTATTTTTTCCCCAAACGTATTGTTACTATTAGTCTGCATGTTTCTGAGATGAATCTTATTCTGTTATCAGCCTGATATATGTTTTTCTAATTTGTGTTTCAGTGGTCTTTGCAGTGTCATCTGTAAAAGTCATTTATTTCCTCAAGAGAATGCCCTCCTTAGCATCATTAAAGAAAATACTAAACAGAAAATGTTCCGATAATGTTTCTTTCAGATCTAGCACATACCTCCCATCACCGCTCAGCTGGTATGGGTCTTCCCTTTCTTTTATTATGACTCTGGGGCTAGCTTCCAATCCTTGCGATAACAAGGGTACAACATACGGTGACTTC